GACATAAAACATTTTATCGAATCCAAAAGATGCAACCTTAAATTCTTACCGCTTTATTCTCCAATGCTAAATCCAATTGAAAATGCATTTTCAAAAATAAAATTATGTGCAAGTGCTGAGCTGTGTGACGTTTCAATGGAACATAACATTGTTGATGTAATCGAGCGAAGTATTCACTAGCTAACTCGGCAAGATTGTTCTAACTACGTTATGGACATGGGTTTGAAAATCCCACAAGCTGTAAGTCGGGAACCCCTTCATTAAGATAAGCAGTTACCTTATCATCAACAATTTATTAAGTCAAATATGTATTTCGCATTTAGGACCGGGTATTCAATTCTTGTTCATAAATATTTATTTATTAAAATGTCAAGAAATACCCCAGTTTGTATTACTATTTATTTAGTTTTATGTAGTAAATATATTAAATGAAATCACACCGAATTAAAGAATATTTATGTTAATTACAAAGCCATACAACTATATTTGTTAATATTCTTCGATTTAATTTTCAAATATTGGTTTAAAATTACTGCAAATATTATATTTCCTTAGATAAGAATAAAGGTTTCATTTAATTTGGAAAAAGTTTCATTCTATTTGTAAAAAGTTTCATTTCAATTGGAAAAGGTTTCATTCTATGTGTAAAAGGTTTCATTTCAATTGGAAAAGGTTTCATTTAATTTGGAAAAGGTTTCATTTAATTTGGAAAAGGTTTCATTTAATTTGGAAAAGGTTTCATTTAATTTTGGGGGATTTTCAACCAAAACTGCCGATAAATATTCATGATTGTTGGACGTCAGTAATCTATAACAAAAGCTGCCACTCAAATGTACTAGTAAAAGTAAAAAGTAAAAGTAAAATTTTATTGAGACTCTTCTTTTCGATAACATAGTTAAATGTACTGAGAATGATTAGCCTAGTTAGAACTATATACGTCTTATTCTAACACTTGGAATGTGGTATGCATCTTTGCAAACAGTAATAATTTAATATATATGTGAACACATACAAGAGAGAGTGAAAAGGCTTGCTCCCGGCCTATACATTTGCTGGCAGAGCATTTTACGTCTGCCAAATAACAAATGTACTAGTGTGTACACCGTTTAACACCGCTGTTTTTTGGGCCATGAACTCGACTAAATGTCGGTTATTCGATTTCTGGGAAGTCGACTTAGAGATCCCTTGACTGGAAAAACGAACGCATTTGACCGGCGCAATTTTCCAACGCCAACTACAATTTGTTGCAATTCTATTAACTCCAGTGTTGTACATAACCGTACTTTCAATAAAAATTATAAAAATATATATTTAATTTTAATAAAAGCAAGGAAATAATTAATGGTGCTCTGATCCCATACGACATAACCAATCGCCCGCGTCGAATGCCACATGTAGTTGAACACGTTAACATTCGTGCAAATTTATTTCTACAGCACAGCAACACTGACTGGAAAGTGGAGGCAACTCTGTACATATAGTGTAGAAAAAATACTAGCAGCACAGAAAAATTTTTTCACACACTACGGACTGAATTGATTTTTGTCTGCGATTAATTTTTGTGGAAAAAATCTTATAATGGCAAAGGTAAGTTTCGAATTTTGTTAAAACTCAATAGAATAACGAAGTGCAGTGGTCAGACAAAGAAAAAACTTAATATTTGTCGAAATTTAATGAAATTCTAGATTAAAAAAGTTGTGTAAAGAAAAATTCTCGACTACCACGAGCTCAGCTCGCAATGTAGTGCAGAGAGAAAAATGTGTGTGTGCGATTGTGGAAAAAATACGTTCTTTGCTTCCATTTAGGGGGCAATGTAAAAATAATTGTCGTAAAGCTAAAAAAAAATGTTGGAGCTTGATTATTTCCAGAAAATATATTAAAAGAAAATTAATAATAGATAGTAATTTACATGAAAAGGTAAAGGTATGCAATGAAGGGCATGGGAAAGCGTCGTTGCATGAGAGAAGGTGGAAAATTGTGTTCAAGGACACGATGGGCCCCAGCAAAATGTGTGCGTGTGTGTGCCTCTTGTCGTTCTCAGTCGTTTTATTTGTTTTTCACTTTGCTCAGAGACAACAAAAATACACCGAGTGTCTGGCTCTCTGTGTCCATGCATCACTCGTGTCAAATAAAAAATGATAATTGTTACGGGAGTCGGCTACATGGGGGTAATGGGGTCGAAAGGGGTTTCAAGCTGGCTTCCCCTTTGTATAATTGTGGCAAATATGTCGTGCTTTTAGTTGTCGTTGTCGCTCCATTACAAGACGTCGCCGTGCATGAGTAGTATTGTAATTTTTTAATTATTTGGTGGCATGGAATAGTACTCGAAAGACATGTGGCCAGACGTGGATTAGTTTTTGACTTCCCACTTGAAACATCTCTAATAAATAACCAATGAAAATGCAAACTTGAAAAAGTAATTTACCAATGAATTGTGTGTTTTTAAAAAATATTTAATAATTCAGATTTGTCGATGTAGCGAGCCAGCGACGCTTGCATTAAAAATCTGAAATTATAGTTAAATTCCTTGTACTTTGATGTTTCATAATTCCAGAACAAAGGCTCTTGGACACCATTCAAGGTCTCTTCTTATAAAATGTATGTATTTTATATTGAAATAAAAAAAAAACAAGACGCGACATTATGTAATTACCTTTATTACCAAAATCATTCATTCCCATGTATACCATGTGTTGGAGACCCAGAACAACGATGGGGCTGTAATGTTGCTCGTTTTGGATTTTGTTTTGTGAACGACCGAATTTAATGTTTGGGGTTTCAAGCAAATTTAACACAAGTGTTTATTTATAGCAGTGTTTTGATTCAACACAAAATTCTTAAAAGTACATAGGTACATATTATTTCACCAAGCGTTTATATATGATATTTTTCGGGGAATGCAGTTGTATCATTGATATTGTAATTGTTATCGTTTCGTATGAATTTTTTGGAATAGTAGGACTAATTATATATATCCTTCCTAAAAATCAAATTATTTAAAAAACTTAAACATACATTTTACGCTCCGGTTCTGTAATATTTCAATCTATCGAATTCCCTTTCTACATTTGAATGCATAGAGGAATATCAAGTCAAAATATAATTAGAACAACTGGGGTAAATACTGTCGATCTGTTCCAAAACTGCAAGAATCTACTAATTTTTATGATTTTTCGATATCATAAAGTAAATTGGAAATTTTAGACATGGGCTGTAGTGACCGCTGACATTTTTCTAAAATTATCACATAAAGTATCATTTTTTTAAAAAAGTGGCACAAATCTTTTGAAAAGGTGGCACAAAAAGTGGCACACTATTTTCCTACATATAAAATGGAATCTGATGAAATTATATATGGACGGTACTTTCAAATTTTAAAATCGGACAAAAACTAGGTCTTTTGTTTAAATATTTCAATATTTGAGACGATTATAATAATATCCACATTATTCTCATCCCAAGCCTGTATCCCATGAAAAGTCATTGTAGACTCTATTCGATACCTAATGGAAAATTTTGGCTAAGTCTTAGGCGTACCATCGTGTATACGGGAGCTATACCTATATCTTAACCGATTCTCAACAGTTTGGATAGGCTAAACAAATGGGACGTACTAAATTGCATCCAACTCAGATAATCAATGTTATCTTCATATGGGTCTTTCGTATGTCATCAAATGCACAATAACAATTCACTGTACCACAGGATGTAAAAATTCTAATATAGAGTTTCGAAATAATTTCAATAAAAACAATTCAAAAACTGTCCAAATGACTATTTCTTTAGTAAATATCTTCGTGTACGAGCGTTGCACAAAATTGGCACATTTGGTATCAAAATAAAAAAGTAGCACAAGAGTGTCATATTTATTGTAAACAAATATTTTTATTCGAACCAAAATATATGTGCGCATTACTATCATTACGTTTTTTGAAAGATGTTTTGAATTTTTATCCTGTTCTGCTTTGTATTTCGCGATTAAAATGTTGACAGAGAAGATAAGACTAAGGCATGAATTCGCCTCTCTGTTAATCTTATGAATAAACCTTGGTGTGTTTCTATAAATGTAAAAAAATTTTGCAGCATTAAAAAAAAAATGTTTTCATACATATTCGCCGTTTTCTATTGATACTCAAGTAAATAAGTATTTTACGTATTTGGGTAATACGGACATTCAATAAAAGTGAGGAGGTGGGAATTTTAGTACGCCACGCACTGAAATAGGTTGGTTCGAGCCTTTTTTATAGCAACATAGTCATCATTTGTTAATTGCTAAAGTAAGTTATTTTTTTTTTCTTTTAGAGTCTGTAAAAGAGGACGAAATAAAGAGTGTGATATATGCTTTTCAAAACCAGTGTGGAGAACAACATCATTAGACATCAGGATATCAGGAGAAAACGTTTCTTTCAGTAAAGCACAGTTTAGTACATATACAAATTATCCCACAGCGAAATAAACTGCGTTAAGGGGCTAATTGTTTTGCAAGTCCAGAAACAGCAGATGCAACGCAAACAGAAGGAAGACTAATTGTAAAGGATACTTTCGCTACAATAAAACAAATATTTAATGAACCTGGAAAGTTTTTATCCAAAAAATTCTTATACCTATAAAAACTTTACAACAAAAAAATATTTAAATATTTCGCGATTCTTTGATGAGCAAACTACAAAGCAAATTTCAATTGCAATCTTAACCTCACCTAACCTAACCAATTATAACAAAAAAATAAAATAAAGTAGGGAAAACCTATTCAACGAACATTTGTCCACAAGGGAACATCCAAAGTAACCTAAGGAATACAGGCTGTTCCACATAATATAAAATATACAGAAAATATATTGGCGTTTGACTGGAACATCAAGGGTTTATAAATACAAACAAAATACTGAGCCATTCGTTTGAAATCATACGACCACTTGCCAGTAAACTTCATAACAAACAAGTCGAAAGAAATCATTAAAATCGTTATAGCTATTTGATTGCATTGCGCCAAGTTACACTGTGTCACGTTTTAAAGAGGCTTTATATATGGCAACTATAGAGGATTTTGTACCACATATCATAAAGAGCGCCTCCGTCACTCCCAATCCCTCTTCTGTGACACCAATAATTGCCAGTAACGCCGACACGAACAACTGCACTTTTACTTCTGTCCTGGAATCGTCTTCTATCACGGCTGTTGCTAAAGCTTTGGAGGCATCAAGCTTTATAACTTCTACTTCTAGTGCTTCCACTGTAGATTCTATCGTTGATAAACTCGTCAATTCTTTGGATCTGAACGACCCTCTTCTATCGAACAACTGTAACCCAATAGCAAAGGATTTGAAAAGCATTTCGTCTCGGTCGTCGTCGGTTGCCGGCAGCTTGACATTGGGCGGGCTGGGCGGCGGAAATATGTTTAGCGAAGTCTTCGAAAGCAACGTGGGCTCAGAGCTGGAATCTGGCTCCTTAGAAGACTCTTCGGGTTCCTTGTGTGAAGGCGATGTGGACAAGAATTGTAAAATTTGCAGGTATAATATTTTTTAATTACTCTGTATAGTTTTGTTGTTAACCATAGATGTGTTCGTTACTTATTTCAGTTCTCGTTTGCAATCGCCTCGTGTTTTATCATGTCTTCATGTATTTTGCGAATCTTGCCTTTGCAAGTTGTTGAACGAAGACTCGTCGGGTGGAAATATTTCATCATCATCTTCAACATCTTCGATTGGAGGAGACCTTGTGCCACTCCATAACTCATCTGGAAAATCGCAGATTAAGTGTCCCATATGCAAGCAAATAACTCTGGTAAATATTTTAACTTTTTATATTAGAAATGTGCCTGTGAGTTCTTTTATTTATCATAGCATCCACTTTTTGTGTGTCCTGATCTCAAGAATTTACTTCTTATTCACATGTTTTATTTTTATTTCATTAAAGGTTGGTCCGAAGGGTGTACAATCTCTAACATGCGACTATATACTAACTAATATATTGGACTTGGCCACCATTGAGTCGGAACAATTGCATTGCACTTCTTGCAAGAGCAAGGAGAATGCAATTTCCCGTTGCAATGATTGTGCCAATTTCTTGTGCAGCGGATGTGACAATGCCCATAAGTATATGCGTTGTTTTGAAAATCATGAAGTGGTCAAATTAGAGGACTTGCAAAAAACTTCGGATGGCGATAAACCCTTAATTATACACAAACCCTTGTACTGTAATGTACACACATCTGAGAATCTCAAGTATTATTGCTTCAATTGTCAAATACCGGTTTGCAATGACTGTTTGATTGCCGATCACAAGGGTAGCGAGCATCACTACGATATCATAGCGTTGGCTGAGAAATCTGTCCGCGGTGATGTTGAGAATCTTATAAAGGAGGCCAAATCAAAGGTACAAGTGAAATATTCTAAAATTTATGGCATTGTAGTTTCTTCTAAACGGTTTGTTTCGATTAATTTTCGCAGGTGCAATATTGCGATGATGCAGACGCAAATTTATCTAGCGCTCTTAACGAGCTACAATCTCAACATGACGCGGCACGTGATCTCATTCAAGAAACATATGAGAATTACAAAAAAATCATAGAGAAATGCCGCGACCAAGCATTGGTTGAACTGAAGAAGCTGCACTCCGAACGAGTTTTGAAGATAATGGATCTGATGCAAAACATCCAAAATACTATGGGTAAAATAGATAACACTTGCAAATTTACGAATCGTGTTCTTGAACAAGCAAATGCTGCAGAGTTTCTGTCAATGAAAAAACTAATTGCAACTCAATTTATTAATATGATAAATACCACACCAAAGTGCGACATTAACTATTCGTTGACGTTCGACACTAAACCTGAAAAGTTCGAACAACTTGCGCAAGAGACTTTTGGCAAATTTCGTACAGAATCGACTCCACCTTCGCCAAAAGAAAGCACCCCACCACCAACTTTGCCCGGCATGCCACCGAATATGATGAACGGCCGTATTGGTAGTGGCGGAAATGGCAGCATGAATTGCTCCAACAGCTCCCAGAGCCAATTAACCAGTTCGGTTACGGCCAGCAGTCCAATATCTTTGCCAACTTCCATGCAAAGTTCATTTGATGGTGACATCTACGCAAGCGCTTTGAGCGGCGGCTTCATGATGTCTAACGTACTTACTCCGGATTCACCGACCCAAAGTCAATCAGGGATGGCCCACAATCACCATCAACTACAACACCAGAACAGCACTTCGTCACATCACAGCAGTGTAAATGGGTTCAATAGTATTGGATCCATTGGCACTGGTAATGGCAACACATTAAACAACAATTTGTCAAATTCGTCTCCGGGCTTCAATGGATCTCTCGGCAGTCAGCTGGGTTCTGGACCTGGTGCTTCATTGATGGGTTCTCAAGGCCTAAATGGCTTAAATAATGCGGGACCTTCGACTGGACTAAATGCTCTAAACAATCCACTCAATAATAGTTTAACTGCTGCCCTAAATGGTCCTTTGGGCGGAAATACTGGAGTTGCTGCTGTGCCACCACCAGGAGGTTATAATAGTATTCTGGAATACAATTTATCACGTCTTGCCAGTCTCACAGAAAACACGCCAGATTCTCTTACGGATGCCCTAGTGGGTTCGCCAAGTGGCCCTACTCCGCAATCAGTAGTACCAGCTGCCAATGCACAAAATCAAACCATTATCCTTGCCGACATTCTCTCCGGTGATCAACGAGCTTTTAATAATTTGCAAGCTCTTGCAAAACTAGGCTTGAACAACAACGGTAAGTAATGATAAACATATTTCCTTTCTATGTCACCTCCTAGCCAGTCTTCCTTATACAACTACCTTAAACTATGTATAACATTTTTGGTTTGTTATAGTTTTCAATTACATAAAATGTTCCACGTAAAATATTTGAAACAAATTATTTATATTGTTCGTTATTGTCCTTCGATATAACAACGTTAACTATATTCCGACGAGGCGTAGAAAAATAAAATTAGCATCTGATTCATTGCTATATAATAATAAATACAAAATCAGTGAAGAGTTTCCCAGTTACGAATCACAAATAAGTAATTTTTCAATAATGCACATTTGAAATACAATAGTTTTAAAAGAAAATCTAGAAAGAAATACAATAATGAAATGCATCTGAACAGGATAATAAAAATACCAAAGTATCCATAGTATCCTTTGATTAATTTTCGATAGATTTAAAAAAAATGCGGTAATAAAGTTTGGTTTTAATAGCTGTTTTCCAGAGTAACATTAAGCTCTATTTCAGGGAATAAGTAATGTTTTTTGACTTTGGTCAAAATTGAAAATAAACGGCTGCTTGAAATACATCGAAATATGCTGAATAAATCTTACAAGAAGAAATTTACCGAGTAACATTTAGTAAGTTCTCAGCGTAGAACTGTCAAACTAGCTCTGTCTTTTACTGGACTTTGGAGTAAACAGACAACATCCAGTAACATTTTGTAGCAATTGTTATCATATATGGAGTAAACAGGCACAGCTAATTATGTTTTTAAAATCATACATCTAATAAGGTAGATGCATGAGCAATCTATAACAACAACAAAATTGTTGCAGAAAGTTTTTATATAAAAACATACCCGCATTTATAAAATTCTTTACACAAAAAATTAATGTACATGTTTTATTTTTTTCTGGCAATTATGCCTGTTCTTGGAGTCTACCTTTTAACGGAGACATCTATATATATATATTTACAGTGGTGGTCACAGAATTAAAACATTTACTGTGGTAAACATTTTTTGATCAGCCCTCGATTCGTTTGAAGTATTTTTGAATTTTTTTTTTTAATTCAGAACACCTCGATATACTGCACTTAAGAGATTTAGTGTGAAAATAGAAAATTATTGCATGCAATTTTTCCATAAATAGCGGGTTTTATGAAAATACATGGACGTTGAAGTGGCCATATAATTAAAACATTGTGTGATTTTTTACTTTACTGCATTTTTTGCAAATATTTTTAAAAAAGCTCTTTAATTTAGTTAAATTATGTAAACTAAGCACCGATAGAATCATTTACAGATAAAAATTTCTGAAAAAAATCTGTAAAATCGATCAAAATTGCCAAAAATTTGTACAGTACACCTAACATTCAGAAAACACCCTTATTATAGAAAAAAAAACCGTATGCACCAGAAATTGCTAGAATTAGTAAAAAATAATAAATAATTCTCAAAATAAACAAATATTTGAAGTAAAAACTCAAAAAATGGGAATTGGCATAAAGGATCTATTCAATTTCGATAGTCTTTATTGCAGAAGGCCGGAATATTTTTGCAATATGTGAGAAAATATCGATTGATATTGGCATATAATATATAAAATCGATTGTTCGGGTAGTGCAGAATATATTTTATCAAAAATATATCAGTCACAACAGAACGAACAGAAATCAACGCATATGTTAACGAGTAATGGTTTCTGGCACACAGCAGCATGATTGATGGTCAACTCTTGACCCTTCAAATCTATTGAACATGCTAATATTTTTCCAAAATAATATTTTATGAATAGAATAACTTCCACTTAATCTATTTTAGTAACAAGGAAGGAACCATTTTACAGTTTGACAAATATTTGAAGACTTGTGTTGAACATCAAAAATGCTGCTGTGTGTCAGAAACCTTTACTCGTCAACATAGGCGTTGATCTCTGTTCGTTCTGTTGTGATTGATATATTTTTTGATAAAATATATTCTGTACTACTCGAACAATCGATTTGATATAATAAATACCAATATCAATCGATATTTTCTCACATACTGCAAAAATATTCCGGCCTTCTTTAGTAAAGGCTATTGAAATTAAATCGTTCCCTTAGATTAATTCCCATTTTTTGAGTTTTTATTTCAAATATTTATTCATATTGAGAATTATTAATTGTGTTTTACTAATTCTAGCAATTTCTAGTGCATTCGGACCTTTATTTTCTATAATAAGGGTGATTTTCTGAATGTTAGGTGTACTGAACAAATTTTTAACATTTTTGATCGATTTTACAGATTTTTTTCAGAAATGTTTATCTGTAAATTATTTTATCGGTGCTTAGCTTACATAATTTAACTAAATTAAAGAGCTTTTTTAAAAAATATTTTCAAAAAATGCAGTGAAGTAAAAATTCACACAATGTTTTAATTATATGGCCACTTCAAAGTCGATGTATTTTCATAAAAAACGTTATTTATCGAAATATATATATATATATATCTTTTATTTTTTTTTTCTTTTTTAATATTTTCTTTAATTTTTTACATTTATTTTGTTTTTGTTTTTTTTTATTATAATACAATATACCACTACCCTACAAACACCTATAACCCATCATCACTACCGTTCCCAAACTCTTGCTGTTGTTTAAAAACATGTATTCTACACGTTTGCACTAATACTGTGTGGCGGAAAATGACAATTTTCCCACAAAAATGCCACTGGCTAACAATATACTACATACAAACTTATTGTACACAACAATTATATTGTGAAAAAATATATAAAACATATAACTGATTGTTTGTTAATGTTGTTGTTGCTGATGGCACACGTGTTAATCAATGACTGTTATTTTGTTATAAATAAATGAATATTATTGTTGGCATATTACAAGTAGATTTTCACACAGACTTGACAAGCAATCAGCTATTAACGAGTGGACCCTCACCAACCGGATTTGATTGTTTATTACCAGATTACTGCCTACCCACAGCACCGTCGCCAAGTTTACCAAATTTGCCTCCATTATGTCCAGGCGCTGGGGCTGGTGGTTCCGTCGACGATATGAGCATAAGCAGTTTCCATGCTCCACAACAACCCCAGCCAAATACGACCAGTATAATAACAGGTCGCAATAAGGCAACTCCAATGCAAATACGTTGCAAGTTTGGCTCATTGGGAACGTCTAAGGGACAGTTTAATTCTCCACACGGTTTTTGTTTGGGTGTTGATGAGGAAATTATTGTAGCCGATACTAATAACCATCGCATTGAGATCTTTGATAAATCTGGCAATTTGAAGTTTTATTTCGGCGTGCCCGGAAAAGAGGAGGGACAACTGTGGTACCCTCGCAAAGTTGCCGTTATGCACACCAATGGCAAATTCGTGGTTTGTGATCGTGGCAATGAACGTTCTCGAATGCAGATTTTCTCGAAAAGTGGTCATTTTATGAGGAAAATCGCTATAAGGTAAATGATTTAATTATTTTTCATTACAATTAAGATTTTTTTAAATTTGTTTTGTTCATTAGGTATATTGACATCGTTGCCGGTTTAGCCGTCACATCTAAGGGCCACATTGTCGCCGTTGACAGTGTTTCTCCCACAGTGTTTGTCATTTCGGAAGATGGAGAATTGGTGCGCTGGTTTGATTGCAGCGATTATATGCGCGAACCGTCAGATATCGCAATCAGAGGTAATTAATTGCAACCAGTACTCTTTGTGTTGGAATATCAGAAATGAATTCTAAACGTTTTTATTTCATTGCAGATAATGACTTCTATGTTTGTGACTTTAAGGGTCATTGCGTAGCGGTCTTCCATGAAGATGGTACATTCCAGTATCGTATCGGAAATGAGAAAGTTACCTGTTTTCCAAACGGAATTGATATTTCCAATGCTGGTGACATTTTGATTGGTGATTCTCATGGCAACCGTTTTCATGTTGCCTGCTATTCACGCGATGGTGTCCTTCAGTCCGAATTTGAGTGTCCACATGTCAAGGTAATTACTCTAATCTCTATAGTTACAATTTAAATATATTTCATATTTTTATAAGCCTATTAAATTCCACTTTATTACGTATTGAAATTGAAACATTGATATTGTATTTTGAATTAGTAACCAAATATTTACAAAGAAATATCTACATTGATGAAAACAAGACAAAAAAAAAAAAAAATATTTTCAATAAGTTCATGATTTGCAGTATAGAAAATAGAATAATGAGGAATAAATATCGTTTCAAAATCTGTTAAACAAATTGTACAAAAACATGCAACTAACATAGACGCTCTTACACCATTCATATTAGTGCTTAAAAGTACAAAATATGGTATAATTGTTTGAAGGCGTAAGGACCGAGTAGGCAACCCTGTCGTGATTGTTAATACATTTTTATAGTGCTCCGCGTTTTTGGATTAAAATATTTATTTTTAAAATATTAATATTTTGTGATAAATTACTTGTCTGTGTATTTGAAAGTGTTTTATACTATTTCTGTGCATATTGTACTTATTGGTGTGGTGCTATAAACAATTATTTTTCAATATAATTTCTAATCTTCTTTTTGTTTCTTTACCAATTTGTTCTTTTTGTTACAATACTTTCATAGTTGTTGTAACATAACAGAAACGCAAAATGTCTACGAAAAAGGCGACAAGTAAAACGTTGCCTAGTCGTAAAGCCTCGGTTTCTGCTGGGAGTACTGCACCACGAACTGTTTCTGGGAGTGTCATAGATACAACTGAATCTGTTTGTGGCCAGTCGTATGCTAGTGTTGTGACGGAAGCAACTACAGAAGCCAGAAAGGATTTATTGGAAGGAGCAATAACCCCTAAAACCATGAGTGTTACTATCCCCTGGCTGGAGAAAACTACTCATGGAATACAAGAATTATCACTTCCTTTATCTGATGCGTGTTCAGTGCTTTCGAGCTGCTTCCGTGGCCTCAACTGGTATAATCCCACAAACTTCCCAAAGATCGTAGAATACTGACGACAGTAACATCAATTTTTTTTGATCTCTGGGGGTTTAAAAAGTTTGGGACTCCATGTGCATTGATTGGTGGAGGACCTGGGGTCAACCTTGCCATAGCCTCCTTACCATGACAAGGACTTGGTAACTAAACCTAATATTCTTCGAGGTTTCCAGGAATTGATGAGGCTCCGATCGAATTCAGTCGGAACCCGTACTGCAAACCATATATAGATGTGTAGGAGTTCGCATAACTCCCCAGCGTTAGGGAGTCATAATTTAGGGGATGAGACTAGGAACCCATAAGTGGTTAATTAATAGGGTCGCCAAAACACTTCGCCACGTCGGCCGAGAAGACCATTGGAAGAATGTAACATGTGCGTGACGGATACAAATTTTTTTGATGGAGACAGAAGATAAACATTGTTTTATTTGAGTTAGTCATTGCAAGATCTACAGATAACAGCATTATCCAAAAAAAAATCTCATATTAGAGTCTGTATAGAAACATATGAGAATTTTGTCACGCACGGGTTAAATAATATTTCCTATATAATTTCATATCTCTCTTAACGAATTGATTTTTCACCTATGTGTTGACCTTTTTGTGGAATACGTGATACATATATTGCATATTGAGGATCCCATACAACAGAACCATATTCTAATATATACCGAACCGTTAATATTGCATTGTAGAATCTCTCTTATTTGTAGAATCTCTTCTTAATTTGGGAAATCGTATTCTATGAAATAGGAATTCGACGTGTTTTCCTGAATGCCCTTACATAAAAAAACATTCTCGACGATTTTCAGATGCGCTATCTTATGATATAAACCGCCCTTAAAGTGATCACGTGGTACAACAGTGCAGAATGTTGGAACGAACTATTCATATGGGAGGCTACATGATTATATTTTATAATACTAAGGTGTAGTGTTTTTTTATTTGTAATTGTCGACTTCGTAAGAAGATATTATAAACATGTGTGAGATATACGGATTATTTAGACTAGTTCTAATGCTGTTAAATTGTGTAACTCAAAGCACAACAAATTACATTTAATAATTACAAGATACTATGATTTAATATTCGCCAATGTTTTCCTTTAAACATTATTAACCGACCTAACCTAACCTACATCGTTTCTGTCATTGACATTACTGCGGGTCAGTCAACCGTTAAAATGGTGTAGTACAAATGTCAGTTACGCTAATTGAAATAAAGTGTATGTCAACATTATTGTTATTATGATAATAACTAAAAAGATTTGTTTTGCGCATTATTCTCAAGAAAATTATCTCTAAAGATCAACCAGCCGAAAGGTATAGGTCATGAGATTCGTGATTTCATTTGTTGTAGCATATAATTATTCCTAGTGCTCCAATTTCCGTTTTTTAGATTATAGATCTACGACTAAAGACATAATCCTTGTGTTTTAATATAATCGTGTAGATAATGCTGCACATAGCTCTTAAATGTACATGTTAAATATGATATGAATAAAGGTTACAATTCTGTTTTCTCAAAGGTTTCGCGTTGCTGTGGCTTGAAAATTACTTCAGAAGGATATGTTGTGACACTGGCTAAAAATAATCATCATGTTTTAGTGCTTAACACATTATACGTTCAGTGATTGCAAAAAAAGAGAACTCTCAATGTGAGAACTGATTTGTTAACCTATGGAAAAACTGCAACTGCAAGTAAATCTCACCAGCAGCAGCAACAACAAAATCCGCAGTCACAGCAATCGCAACTACATCAACACCATCAGCAACAACAACAATTGCGTTCCGTTTTTCCTACAATGCATGGCAATCACGGCCTTAGTATCTCATCACCATCAGCAGCGACCACAGTCACAGCAGAAACGAAAGCAGCAGCAGCAGTATCCACAAACGCAGCACTAAATTTCAATTTGCCTTTAATAAGCAAGCATCAGCTTTACAAAAATAATACTGAACATAGTGATAATGGTGAACAAACAACAAAATTACAACTTATAGATTATGATGAAATTTAAGGCAATACTATTTTTGTATTATTTTCATTTTCTTGAAAACAAAACAAACAAAAAGCTAAACAAACTTAAACATACATAATGTTAAAACAACGCCTCCAAAGAAACGACGAAATTTTGAATTTACGCCGCCAAAAGCCAAAAACAAAAAAATATCGTAAAAAACAATATAATTTATTTTTTTACACCTCTTCGTACCACTTACTACTATATTACTACTTCTACTACTTTATTACAATTATATTCTACATCGTTTTACACTTTACAATTTTTAATGTAGTTAAACAAACAAAAAAGGCCGTTTTTATATACAAAAGAAATATTTTAGCTTATATGAAGAGATATATATTTAAAATAATTTTCTTTTTCTACATTACTTAAAAAAAATTTTCTGATTAGTAGAAACTCAAAAGGCGAAATTCTCGAGCATACGAAAACATTTTTGTACAGTCAAGAATTTTTGCTTTTTGATTTGAATGCCATGGAAAATTAATTTATAACTCCAAAAGAAAGACAAACTGTCTGATTCAAAAACGTCGATTTTTCGAAACAAATCTCAACCCCACACATAAATACAAATATATAATTTTGTGATCTCTTTCTATTCATTTTTTCTGTTTATTTTAATTGCCAAAAAGAAAAACAAATATCAAACATTATTACAACGTATAAAAACGAATGAAATTTTGAAAATTAAAAAAAAAAAATGTATATTTTTTCATCTTAAAAAATTAAAATTAAATTAAAATAACACGTTGCAATGGTTTACAAAAAACTAATTACAATTTGAACAAAATAACTATTACAACAACCATAAAACTTAAATGAAATATTGTTATATAAATTACATTTTTATAATTTTTGTTACGTTTTCTTTTTATTTACATTTTTAATTGCAAACAAGACAATGTATTCACATAATATCGACGAGAACAAAAGTGTAAAGCTCATACTTTTGTTTTCTCGAATGTGTATGTCACGTTTTTATTTACAAACAAAACACAAAACAAAACAAAAAAACATATTCCTTTTTTACATACATTTAAATTAATTTCCCACGTTATTTTTAAAATAAGGCTGGTTTTCCAAGACATTATTTTACATTATTTACTCACTCACATTTGTGTGTTATATATATAATTTTTTAATAACAATGTTAACTTTTAAAATTAATTACATCTACATAACTATTTACATTTACAAGAACAAAAAAAAAATATGTTTATTAGTATATATACGTTAAATTAAATACACTTTAACACAAAACAAATTTTAAACATGAAACAAAAGAAGAATAATCTTATAATTTTTTATTATAAAATGTTTAATTTATCCTTGATTTAACAATGTGTTTCAAATACTTTCTTGTCATTTTTTGTATTTTATTTTAATTTTTTAATATTTATTTTTTTTTTGTTTTTTTTAGAGATAAAATATATGATTTTCAAATGTATTTATTATTATATTTGTTTTAAAGATTTTCTTATGTAAAACATTTAATACAAAAAAAAAAAAAAAAAAACGACAACAAAGAAAATGGAATTAGCAAAACAAAAAACAAATGATCATATATTGTGCGTGAGGCTGTAGTTTTAAATTATTAAAAAAAGAAAAACCAATACCAATCATACCTTTTTACTACTATATAAGCATTAACAACGATTACAAGAATTACCCAAAAGCAATCCTTTTTAAAAAAATACATATTTAATTTTAAGTAGTACCAAATGTAGAGTTTCTCTTCGAAATTTCGAAAACACTCACACATCAGACTTATTCAAATTTTCAAACAAACCGTCATTGAAAAACAAAAAACAAACAAAAACTGTTTATAAGATATTTTTATAATCATATTTTAAGTATAAATACGTATTTTGTTGTCCTTTAACAGAGCAAAAAGTCTCCGAACATTTTTAGTCTCTCTCAGTAAAAGGCAATTTCATACACATATTTGTAACCTTTGGCTGTTTAGAGGATTTAGCGTTCATTTATAATTTTAAGTTTATTTTTATTGTTTTCGTTTTTTTTTGTTTACTTTTTATTATTATTCTTTTTGGAAAGACTGGATGAACCGAGACCTTTATCACACTGGTCCAATCTGTGTGCTGTAACATTTTGAACCGTTGTGTATTTTGTCATCTCAATTTCCGCCAAATTTTGTCTATTTTGTACTTTTATTTTTTTCCTTAAGAGCATTTTATTAGCAACAATAACACATTTATTGTATACACAAATTGAATTGATGCAATTTTTTTGTAAATTATTAATTAGAATGTATACCGACAAAACATTTTACATGCTCATTTTATTATATACAATTATTTTCATTATTTCAAAGTAACTAAATATAAAACAGAAATAATTAATACCCACAAAAAATTAAAAAAAAACAACTGTAATTCCATAAGCTTTTACTTTTTATTGTAATATTTTTTGTTTTAAGATTTTTTTAAAACTATTTACAAGGTTTTGTTAAACAAAACTTAAAAAGTCTACAAATGATTATTTTTATTTCTATTTTAGTTAAGTTTATTATTATTTTAATATACACAAAGTATACACAGACACATGTAGACATATTAGATGACACAAGATATTATGGATCTAGATTAGGCCATAGACGACTCCCCGCATCATAGAGGTTATACAACTGATTGCCAACACATCCCCATTTCAACGCATATACAAAAACTGACATTTGATATTATAATAGAGTTTTTTTTTTATTTTAGATTATAAAATGAATTTATGTTGTATTTTTCTTGTTATATTTTATTTCCGATAATTCGCTTAACTTAATGATATTATTAAAAAAATAATATAATTGTTTAAGTCAGTTTTTTTTTTGTATTCGTAACTAAGAACCCTTTTTAGTGTATCCCTTATTTTTACTTTTAAGTCAAGACGTACAGTAGTGCAGAAAGACTAAATATATTTTCAATATTTTATATTCGTTTATAACACACAGGTTGTATTAAATTAATAACAAAAACCAAATGCATTTTTAAAAGTACTCCAATATTTTTGTTTATTATTTTATAAGTATTTGTTTACAATGTTCTAGCAAAAACGTTCAAAATGCCTTTTAGACTTTTGTTTTCAAAAATATTTTATCTACCAAATTATTTTTATTGGCCATATAGATGTTTTACACAATCGTGTATTTTTTATACATACACTCCATTATTAAAGGAAATGAAATGATGCAACACTAGTCATATGCATATGCCTAATAACATGTGCATATTTTTAAACTATTTAATCTTATTGATCACTATTGCTTACCTCTACCATTTATTAATTAATCTACACTACTGTACGCTTCTGTATTACACGCTTAAAAATTAAACTAGAAGAAGAGAGAGAATAATATTGTTATTGTTAACGTTTTCCACCTGCTTTATGTTATTAATTTAATTTTATGTTTTTTTCTTATCTTCGAATTATTAATTGAAATGATTATTATTTTTAATAATTTTGTGATTTTTTAACCTATACGCCTATACAATTTCAATAAAACTTCATTTAACTGTTTTTATATGTGTATGTATAATGTTTTATGGTAAATAAAAAATATTATTTACAATTGCAATTCACTACTGTATAAACAATTCTCGCAGAGATCAAGGCTTTAGCAAATCAACAAATTGGGATAACAAATTAAAAATTCGGCAATAAATTTCGAAACGTGACAACGTAAATATCAATATTCAAAATTGATTGAAAGACAGGTATTAAATTGTTACTAATAACAATTGCAGTAGTGATTCAATTTGCCCTTTATACTCGTTTAATATAGTAATAAGGCTCAATCTGTAAACCAATATACTAAATTCAACACATACACACACGCATATAAAGATAATACTAATCTCCTTTTGAATTTCGAACAGCATAAATGTGAGGTTAGAAAAGAATATGTATTTTATCAATCCAAAGTTTTTTTTATATATATATTTAACATATTTTTAAATTATAATTATAAATAAATTTACATATATTTTAAACATATATACAATACTACATTTATATTTATGTATAAAAAATATATATGAATAGTATACATATGTTTATAAACAAATTATATATGTACATCATGTATATGGGTAAAACAAAATGAAATAACAATCTAGTGTATGTCAATTTTTGATGATATTTTACGCCTTATGAAAAATGATTAAAACATATATACATTACAAATAAATAAATAAATAAATAACAAACCAAACCAAATTCCCCCCAATATTTGCAATAACGTTTTAGGAACACTTATACAAATCCACTTTAAAACCATAATATTAATATTGATTAAGAATGATTTAAGCTAAAAACTTTTATTTTTACATTTACCAAAAAGTAAACAAGAAACGAAATATGAAATATGAAAATCAAAAACAACAATTGAAATATATAGACAACAAACAAGCAACAATAATGTATAAATAATTAGTTCTCAATTCAATTAACAGGCCGAATCAAAAAGAAAAAAAAAACATACATCATGATATAACAACAAACATTCAAAATTGAAACAGAATCAACATAGGTTGACAAACAATTTTCGTAAATAATCAAGCGGAAAATTAAATATATGTATAATATGTGACAAATTTATTCAAAAAATACAAACGTACACATTAACCAATGATTATATACTTATAACTATCATATGTGTATGTTGTATTTACATGGCGCCTAAAATGTTTGAATATAAATTTGTATTCTCTATCTCTATTCTCTTAGCGT